ATAGGCTCAAGTTCAGGTCAGGCTAGATCCAGCAACCTCAGTCATCAACCCTGACCAAGCTCAGGGTATACATCATCCTAAGTCTAGCTCCCCATGTGGTTACTGGAAAGCTACCAACAGCAACTGATCTACATGCACCTGCATTCAGAGAGAGAACAAACACCTCTTCACCCATCACAAAACTGAAGTCTTGAGTTTTCCTGTAATTAGACCAACCCCTATCATGAACCTACCCAAAATCAGAAGGGTATGGAATTATGCCCAATAAAAAGTCCTCCCAAAGAGCTGGAGAGGATATCAGTCATCTCTCTCCCAAACCCCACAACAGGCACACAATGGAGAGAATGGGAAAGATCCTGCTGACACAACCAATCAACATTGTTCAGTATGACAATCAATCACAACTACCCGAGTTTTAAGTACAAAAGGCATTTGGGAGATTGTCCATCCCAGCAGAGAGTCTAAATCCAGGGTGTTTTGTCTCTGTGAAAGAAATTCAGAGACCAACTCATGTGATTCCAATCTGAAGAAAGAGGTTCTAATAAGAGCTGCAGACCCAGTATTCATGTCTAGAAATTTATCCTAAGGAAACAAAAGATTTGGTCATAAGTATGTTTAGCATAGGGTTGTTTACAAGAGGGAAAAAATGCAAACAAATGAGATGTCCAAACATCATATATTGATTTAAAAAATATACCCATACTGAAGAGTATTACTGTTATTGTAAATATAAACTGATGTTCAGATGTTTATGAAAAAGATTATAAAACAGTATGTACTCCCAATTGCATTTCTGTGGGGGAAATTTTAGAGTGTCTGTTTATATGGCTATTTATACAAAAATCTACCTTTGAAGAACACACACAGAAGTTCTGACTGTGGTTCTCTCCAGGTGGAAAGATTGGAGAAACTTTCCATTTTCTTTAATTTACCTGACTCATGCATTAATTGTTAAGCTAATAGGCAAGCCCTTTTTCTCTTTTTGTCCTCATTACGCATATATAATGTTCAGTCTGATTTTTTCTGGTTTCTCCTACTCCTCACCCCTATATTCACAGGCGAAGAAACTGGCCCATCTCCTCGGGCTCCATTTCTCAGAACAGTAGCTGTCACGCTTCTCATCTGCAGTGGTACTAAGCAACTAAACAGTGTGAGAATCTTGTGACTGTCCAGCTAATGGGATAAAACTCACCTCTCAGAGCTCTGCGATCTGCTTGCTCACTGTGGGAGCTTTCTTCCCTCAGTCTTGCTGAGTTAACATTTATATTAAATCGCTTGAAATCAAATTGTCGAGATCTTATCAGCACTTGATTGCAATGACCTTCTTGGCTGACCCTTGACTAAAGTACCCCTGTCCTAATGTTCCAATTAAAATCGCATCAAATAAGTGAAATTGGATTTTCCTTTGCAGTCTGTGCAAGCCTTCCTTACCAAGGCAGCTCTAAGCATATTAGCTTCTTCCCCATGTAGCCCAGTTAGGGTGCTGAGACCTCATGCAGTATATGACACGGCATTTCCATTCACTCAGTCCTGACTTACGAGCAGCTACCACTTGGTGGGTGAGGAAACGTGTCAGCCTGGCCACCCACTTTCTGGGGTTGGCGGGCGGGGGGGGGGGGGGGGGGGGGGGATTAGTGAAGTCACATGGGCAGCAGCTGGTTGCCTCAGACATCACAGTGTGCAGGGCATAGCTCTAGGAGCTAGAGAACACACACCACGGTGTTCATAGGCCCCTGCCACCAATGAGCTTCTAATCTATACAGGAGAAATAAGCACAAAAAAGTTGATCTAATACAGGACATACATTAAGTACCTTAAAAGAATTAGAAATGAAAAGACACACAAACACATTTTTATTTCACTGACAAGACATGTAGTGGAGACCCCAACAATGACACTGTGAAGGAGGAAGCATCACACCAGAACCTTCTGTGGGCTGTGATTTTCTTTTAAAAAATTAGTCAAACTTCTCCTAGATGCCTAGTATTTTGTAAATGACTTTGAAGGGGCCAGACATCAACCTAAGTGTTTTTCTTAAAATAACCTTGGAAGCTGAATTATTCTAAGCTTCAAGGCTGTCAGTCTTGCTCACACAGCACATCCCAACCTTAAATACACATCTAAACCCTGAGTATCAAGACGGTCTTCCTCCTGACTCTAAATAACCCCCAATATTGTTTAAGCCTGTTCTCCTTTTTTCAGTCCTTATAGGAAAGAGAAAAGACCAAGGGGAGCCTGGGTGGCTCAGTCGGTTGGCCATCCGGCTCTTGATCTCAGCTCAGTTCTTGATCTAGGGGTCATGAGTTCAAGCCCCACATACTTAACAAAAATAAATGAATAAAAATTAAAAATAAATACAAGAAAAACCAAGTCCTCTCCATATCTTAGGCATGCCTACTGTTAAGAACTGAATCCCATCCTCTAAATCCAGATGCTGAAGCCCTAGCCCCCAGTACTTCAGAATGGGGCTATATTTGGAGATGGGCCTTTAAAATGGAAATAAAGGTAAAATGAGGCTATGAAAGTGGGCCCTAATCCAACCTGACTAGTATGCTTATAAGCAGAGGGAATTTGGTCACAAAGAGATATCAGAGATACCAGGGAATCATACACACAGAAGAAATACCACAGGAGGAGCGAGAAGGTAGGCTAAGGAGAGAGGCAGAAAATCCAAACTTGCCAACACCTTGATCTTGGACTTCCAGCTTCCGGGACTGTGAGAAAATAAGTTATTGCTATTTAAGCCACCAGTCCCTGGTATTTTGTTATGGCAGCCCTAATAAACTAATGCACCCACTATGTGAAAACATCTACAAAATTTCGTGCTTTCATCAAATTTTTATTGAGCACCTACAATGCATGAGAGATATAAGATGGTATAAAATGGGTACTGACATTAAGAAACTAAAATCTTTTGGGGTAAATAGAATCTACAAATTTAATCACAGAATAATACGTTAGAAGTGCCTCAAATGGGCTGCAGAACACCCAGGCTTCAGAGAGGAAGGTACCAGCTGGTGGCAGGGACCCAGGCAAGACTTCCTAAAGCGAGTGAGACTTGAAATAGTCCAAACAGAAAGAAGAGGATGAGATGAAAACAGTGGGGCATACTGAAGAAATAAATTAGTCTAAATATCAAACTAAATGCAAGAAAAGCCTGAAATCTGATCATTCAGGGCCTACAAAGTAACTCTGGATTTCCTTAAATTTTGTAAAATAAGCAAGAACTACAGTGAAATTTAACTGTAATAATTTAAGAAAAAACATCCTTTTAAAAAGCTTAGAAAGTTTTATGTGTCAAATTTAGGGATTTTCCTCTATGGCTGTTTTGAGTAGGTATCTTAATATGTTCAGATATGCAGATTCCTAATTAGAACAAATGACCTCATCTCCCATCACACTTTACCTTCCAGAGACATTTTTACATCCTATTAGTTTATTCCCTGAGAAAAGAAAGTCCTTAAAATTAGTATTAATTAAACAAAGAACACAATCACCAAATTTCCTTTTTTTTTTTTTTAAGATTTATTGGTAGCAGGGTTTGGAGGGGGTAGGGAAGAAGGAGAGAATCTCAAGTGGACTCCCCGCTAAGTGTGGAACCCGACACAGGGTTCAATCTCACAACCCTGACATCATGTCCTGAGCAAAAATAAGAGTTGTATACTTAACCAACTGAGCCCCCAGAATCATCAAATTTCTTATTTTTAACTTCCTAAGCAGTTAAAGTTTTAAAGTACATAATTTCTGATTGTAACTAATACCCTATTTCCTCAATTCTAAGGTGAACTTTTTTTTTTTAACATTTCAGTATCTCCAAAATAAGATACATCTAAAATTTAATATACACAATTAATGAGCTATGGGGTTTCTCCCCCAGAAAAGCCACAATCACATCAATAGTGCATTTTACAATTGATGGTACCTTAAAACTAAGGAAATGGGGTCATGATAATAACCCATTTATCAGCAGGACCTAGTTCTTCAGGAATCACGGTCCCCTCAGGTGTCTTGAATTTCAGGGGAGATTTTGAGACTTTACCATGGTTTAGAGGACACCATGAAGGTCAAGTAAAGTCCAGGCCTATGGCTGAATCAGGGGATGGGGGGGAACACTCACAATGATTCTGCAAAAGGTTCATATCTCACCCAGTCACCTCTGAATCCACCCCTCTGATCACCATAGCAACCCATGTGGAAAGGGGGTGAGGGAAGAGTTTTATGATGCTTGCTAAATCCAGGGGGCTTAGCTCATCTTTTGATGTCACTGAATATACACCCCAATCCATGGATCAGGGCCATGCTTGTGCTTCCACATCAGGCATCAAACAGTCCTAACTTAAAGACCAGATGGATTTTCCAGGCCAGATGGGGAGCAGCTCTTGTACCTTCACTCAAGCACTCTAGCTAAGCCCAAGTAAGCATGCCTCCAAACCTGCTCTAAAGCAGCTGTTTGGGAAGAAAAGAAAAGTCATTATGCAAATGCAAGCAGTTCAAAAGTATGCAGTCTTATGAAGATCATGTCAGGTACGTAGCAGAGACACGGGGAGACTGTTTGTTCTCAGAGTTCAAGCCCGGTTCCTTCACCGCTATGATCCTGGACCACCAGATGATTACCACTAGGGCTCCAGCCATCTGCACTTGGTAACATTTCTCACCAACAGAACTGAGAGCCGGGCACTTGTGCCCCATTTAACGTCATCACGAAAACAAGCCTGTGGTATAACTACTGTTATATAATCAAGTAATTATATAATAATAAGAAATGGGCTGCCAGTGAACAACCTGGCCAATGACTTACAGTCAGGAAGCGTTTGTCAGAATAGGGATGAGAGGTTTTAATCCCCAAACTCTCCTGCCTTCTATTACTTTTACAAAGAAATAACCTTACTGCTTAAGTTAAAAGACACTGAGATGACAGAGCAAGTCATAATTCTAGATGTCTCATTTATCCTACAACATTTAAATGGTTCTATTATATCAAAGGACACTATAAAAAGTACTTGAGAGACAAATATTTAATAATAAAATCATAATTATAATATTTATATCTTTAGTTTTGTCAAAATTCTTCCCATAATTTTGTCTAAAAATAATTGTTCATTGTACTTTACTTCGCGAGTGGGGTTTAAGTCAACATACAATGTTTTGATATTTAACTTAAAAGATTTCTGGACCTAATTTAACATTCTTGCGTTCAATGTAAACAAGAGCTCAAGTTTTCACTTTCATTTTTCTTCTGACACTTTTCTGCAAAAGAACGCTGCATGCCCGTTTTTTCAAAAGAGGCCAAAATCATATGATTCAGAGAGAATTAAAAGAGAGAGAGAAAAAAAAAAAGGCATACAGAGAGATCTGGTCAACCAGCTCAGGATGGAACACCTCCCCCAGGTCTCCAGAGGGGTTGCACAGGGGTCCATAAACCAGCAAATACCACCTGTCCATTATCTGCCTTAGAAAGGTGCATACCTTTGAAAGTGAAAGAATTTAAGTCCAGTGTGGCACTTTCAGAAAATGGCATCAAAGGTTGGACTATAAATCTTTCTTATTCTCAAGTCACTGGACATTTAAGAGCAAAGATATTGATGGGCTCTTTCTCTCCTGCTCTTCTTCCTTGTAACAGATGTATGATTCATGGATTGTCCTTTAGTGGTCCCCATTTTCATCTTATTACTTTTTCGTTGCTTCTGCTTTCTGACAGCTCTGAAAAACAAGGTGCTAAATTATTTTGTAGAATAAGCATAGTGAATTATGTAATTATGTTGGAATTTAATTAACCAGCTGACCAAATAAGAAAACAGAAGGAAACGAATTTACTGTATCATAAGCATAAATCCTCAGGATCCTAACCATAATAACAAGGAGACAGTCAGAGGCCTGACTAAGCAAAACACTTGAGTAAAGAAATTTCTTTGAAAGACGGTTACTACAGATTTATTTGCGACAAACCCAGCACAGAGTAAAGAGTCAAGGCAGGAAAAGCCCCTGCTGTGCTGAACTGCACGGTAGCCTCTAGCCAGCGTGCGGCAACCAGGAAACCTAGGACGTAGTGAGAGCAAGTTAAAAGTGTCTAACTGTAAAATGCACACTGGATATTGAAGAAAGAATGCAAAATATCTTGTCAATAGTTTTTATGTTGATTGTATGTTCAAATAACATTTGGGATACATATTATTTAAATTTTAAAAATCATAAAGCCAATAAGTTAGGAGGGTTTATTTATTTATTTTGGGGGCTACAGTTTTGGTTTTGGTACACCCGTCCTGCTCCGCTCAGCACTTCAATCTCCAAATCCTTGAATGACGTTTTTCAGGAAAAGGACCAACACATCTGCCAGTTAGCAGAGGCAGAGAAATGAAACAGCAGAATGGAAAAATGGACAATGCTTACAGATGCCCATCTTCTAAGTCCTACAGCTAATTCTCCTTTCCTCAGTGGGTCTAAAAGTCTTAACAAGTGCCATACAGGATGCCCACACTTTGTGGTCTTTGTCCTCCTGAAAGACTAGCTTCACATCGAACAAGTTGGAACTCACGCTCTGAGGACACTAAACCCCACCAGAACAAAACAGATCCTTAGTTTCTGGTGCTCTCTGCACTGAGTTACAGACTACCTATAGCTGAGAACGGTTACCAGTCTGTTCATTCACTTTCTCCAAGCTAGCAGAATTACGCCATTCATCATACAGTGACGAGGAAAGGCTGGGGCTGCCAGCTCCTGCAAACCTGGGAGATCCCCCTGGTGCCCAGCCATATCAATCGTTAGATTCCCTTCTCCTAAACCAGAAGTCCTGGGGAAAAGCTTACTCTTGGTCTTCCCAGGACCCAAATCTGCAATTCACAAACAGGATATAGTCACTCTGTGGAGCAAACTCTGGCCTCACTTTTGGTTCACACAACATACATATTAAGTGCTGGAAATACAAAAATGAGTGGGTATCACTTTTGACTCTAAGGATCTGGGAGACTGAGACAAGCTAGATGTCGCCTTTCATTATCCTTCCCCCAACTCTTTTTTTGGGGAAGAAACTGAGGCTATGAAATCCTCCATTGAGGAAGTGGCAGAACCAGCTTGATTCTAGAACCTGTGCTCTTAATTACCTTGTACTATATACTCTGCTATAAATTATTCAGATATATAACGTGCTAAGCATATCGTAATCACTAAACAAATATTAGCTATTATTAGTAGTACCACATGACTGTTCTTCAGAATTTTGCTCGACAACTCTCCATTTTTCCATATTTAGATTTTGGGTCATAGACTGGAATAACCTATCGGTTCATAAATAAAACAAATACCACAGCCATCTTTATACTTTTCTGTGTATGTTACATAAATCTCTTTTCCCTCCAGCCATTATTTTAAGAAGCCTAATGTCCTGATAAGTGATGATTTAGCAAATTTAATGAAGCATAATTTCTTGACAGCATAGTCAGTGAAGCTGTGTGTGCCTGTATACAAAATTTACAGACATTTTCTTTGGCTTTTCCACTTATAAGAAGAACTAAACATGAACCAGACCTCACTAGAGGACACAGTAAACAAAAGCAGAAGAAAAATATTCATTTTAATATGAATAAACAAACTTTCCAGAGATAAAGTCTTTCAATGCAGTATAAATTGAACTGCTTGAGTATAAATCAATTCATTGTTTTGTTTTGCCTTAAAATTGAATTGACCTAGTGTTTGTCCTCTAAATTAAAGGTATTTATGTAATGATAAAAACGATTAACCACAAGAGGGAGCCAGCATCATTCCAGTTCAGAAGCAAAGGCAAATTAAACTTAAGAAAAACAAGTTAATATAAGACAGCTATGAGATATCTTTTATGCCATATATGCTAAAAAGAGGATTAGAATTATTTTTTACTATTGTAAAGAAAAAAAAACCATTTTGTCTTGTCAATTTCATTAGGAAAATTTTTTTGAAAGCAATACCTGAAGATAACTCTTCATAGGAGTTTAGGAGTCTTTTCTGAGAGAAAAAAGTAATACTATTTAAGACTTATCAGGTACGCCACATCCTAATGGATTTGCTTCTTGAATTAAACTTGATAAAATCTAATACTGAAAGATACTAAATGGTTTCCTTCGATGGAAACAATACAATACCACCAAGCCAACTAGCCCAGGCTACGGAGGACCAACAAAGAGCCTACAATACATTACCAAAATGCAAATTCAGTTCCCCTGTATTGTAAAATCACAGACTCAAAGTCTGAACATGTCACTAACTTGATTTGCAACCAGATTTACCCTGTACATGGTACAATCCCAGACCAATAGTTTATTAGGGGGTCTCTATTCTTAAAGGTTTCTAAGAAAAAATCTTTTAGAAGATTCTGTAATACATTTCTTAATTTAGAAACTTCTATTTCTACTCTGGATTACTTAGTAGAAATAACTGTTTAGAGTAAATTTGGTGAAAAGTAATGGAAAAATAAAACAGTAGGCAGAATTCAAATGGCTGGGCCTTAATGGGAAAAACTAATTGCCACTGACCAAAAAAAATGAACAACTGGAAAAGAATTCTAATATAACCATAAATAGTTACAATAACATCAGATAATTCAAATACGAAGAATTTTTTTTTAATCACAAGTCATAAGATGGCTCAGAAATTTTATGCTGATCGCAATTCTCACATAATGTTAATTTATCTATCTGGTTTTCGTAACAACAAAACAAGAAGACTCAGTAACTATCATCCCTTTTAGTTTTTTTTAAGTGTAATCATTCAACTGCGCCCAGTTGAAATAGCAATGGTTTTTTAAAATATGCTGTTGTCACTGGTCTAACTTCGCTCTGAGTGATAACCAACACCAAATACTGGTGGAGAAAGTGAAAATAAGCATAAGAAAATATGGTAAAAATTAAAATTTTACATACTAAAATAGTTAATGTTTTTTTGAAGTCTGATATAATTTAAAGAGATAAATTCATTTTCCGATGTGTTCACTGTGGGATTACATACTATATTCCACCTGAAATGCCTTCTCCAGACTCACCTGCTGTCATATGTCTGTATCTGATCTGTGCTGACTTAAATATCATGTCCGTCAATAAAGGCTGGACTCTCTCCCCACAAATTATAATTTCATATGAACCACGGGAGATAAAAAGTTAACCAGTTTCTACCTTATACTTTGGTGATTTTCATGTCTTACCTGTAAAATGTTAAACTCTTTCACTTGTCTTTGTGCCCTCCCTCCTCCCATCTATGCAAACAATAAGTAAAAGTAAAAACAGGAAATAATACAGCACTTCTGAATCCTCTATTGCATACTTTTGTGGAGGACTGCTTTACACAAATCACACAAAGAAAATTTTTTTCTAGGCAATAAAAGAATTCAACTTACTTGTTCACTTTCTTAGATGTAGCGATCTTAGGACAAGTACTACGTTTGTGGTCTAATTCACCACAAATAAAGCAGCCATCTTTAGGGCCCCCGCAAGAATGATCTGGAAGAGCACAGTGACTACAAATGCTACAGTGGATCCAGGCTATAAAATAAAAATTGAGTTTTAGAAGAAGTTCATTTAATTTTTCATTTGATCAACCTTTATGACGGGGAAGCATGAACAGTGTTTACTTCAAACATCGTGACCGATCTGTTTAAATGGTTATAATTTGGTTAAAGACGCCAAGGTTAAGAGATCAGAATCCCACATAAAGCAACTAACTTCTATCTGATACATGGCAGCCAGTGCAGCCCTTCTTCAATGAGTCATGAGCAGTAGGCCACTGACACAATGGGGGCTGGCTGAGTGACACAAAGCCTTATTAAAATGAGCCAAACCAAATGCCACACTGAAGCAGGTTACAAAGTCATGTCTCCCCAGGAAGGAGAGAGTGTGTATTTTGGCAACTGCAAAAATTAGAAAGCAAGTAAATCCATGTAGGTCTCTATATTAATTTTTTTTCTCTTATAAATACAATTAAGTAAAAATCCCATTTAGGTGAAGAAAAACTCTAAAATGTTTTCACAGGATCCCAAACACTAAGTCTAAATACTTACAAGGTTTTACACACTTTTTGCAGAGAAAGCAATGGTTCCATTTCCTGCCATCCTACAAAAATAATTTTTAAATTATGTTTAATGTATCATTAAAAAATCAAGTTCCACAATTAAAAATTAAAATGTCTTATTAAAATCTGTGTAAATTATTCATTCCTTATTCCTCACTTTCCTGGGCTTCACAATTAAATACTTTGATTTTAATCTATGCATTTCTCCACTCAACTCAAACACCTCCTTGATGGGCCCCAATTTCCTTAACTGGAAAACTAGGGGATTTATCTACATGAACTTGAAAGTCCACTCCAGTTCAAGCAACCCAAACTGCACAAAGAAGGACTCAATGAAAATTTCAAGAGAATTAATGATTCATAACTTTTACGTGCCTATGCAGCATAATCCTTAATGAAATTCGAATTTGAGAACTTTAGATCATCTAAAAAGATAGAAATTACACGGTACTGTTTGGGTAATGTTAAATCTGTGAACTAAAACTACCTAGAAAAGTATGTAAGACACTTACATGTCCAGTTTAATGAGTGTTATGAAGTACACACTGATGAATCCCAATAGGTCAAGAGAATACTGCTAACCCCCTAGACACTCCCCCAGGCACCCTTCCCAATCCGGCATTCCTCTGCCCCACCAAGTAACACGTACTCTGGTTTCTGTGATGGTCACTTCCTTGCCTTTGTTTATTTTTACCACTTATGTGTGTGTCTCTAAATAATAAAATGTTGTTTCCTCATTTTGAGCTTTATGAAAATGACCTGGGCATAATTTTTTTAAAATAAGGGACCCGATAATATCTCCGCTGACTGAAAATACATGTAATCAGATGTGCTACCACAGTTAAAAACAAGTATAACCAATAACAAAATGATAAAGTTATGCAAAATGTACTTTATGATGGTTATAAAAAATACAGCCTTTCCTTTGGCAAATCATTTGTGCATATTAGCCAATCTAAACTTCACCTGTTCTTTCTGACTGGATTTAAGGCACCTAAAGGGCCACCCTACCTCCTTAAGACAATGAGTAGGAGGTATATCCCTGTAGTCCCTCCTGACCTGTAAAAACTGGAGAGTACTTCTCTACTAGGGCTTTGTGTGGTAACTGAGTTAATCCATGGACAGCCCTCAGGGAAGGCCCTGGTACATGAAAAGTGCACAGTGTATGTTCTTACTGTTTCAACAAAATAGGGATGCTATCTTGTGGTTCAGTTCCTTATTTGAAACATCTTAATTTTATCCTCAACAAAGTTCAGCACTCACCTCACGTCTTATTTGAGACACTCCTAATTTTAGTAATCATACAGTACCTCACATAAAGTGAATTTAGGGGCATCTGGGTGGCTCAGTCGGTTAAGTATCTGCCTTTGGCCCAGGTCATGATCCTGGTGTCCTGGGACTGAACCCTGCGTGGTGGGGTGGGGAGTGGGAGGGGTGGGGGGGTGGGGAGGGCTGCTTCTCAGTCTACGTCTGCCCTCCCGTCCCCCCGCCTTGTGCTCTCTCTTGCCCCACTAAATAAAATCTTAAAAAAAAAAAGTGAACTCAATTAACTGCTAATAACGATGAAGGCACTTTTTTTTTAAAGCACTTATTTTTTAAAGGCTGTCCTACTTTAAAATTAGAAACACTGTATTAAAGTATAATAAATGATATACAAAAATAAATAATACAGTAATAGAAACTGTAATGTTATTAAAATAACATTGGGGTCCCTAGGTGGCTCAGTCGGTTAAGCGTCTGCGTTCGGCTTGGGTCACAATCCCCAGGTCCTAGGACTGAGCCCTGCTTCACTTTGGGCTCCCTGCTCAGCAGGGAGTATCCTTCTGCTTCTCCCTTTTCTCCTCCCCCCAGCTTGTGCTCACTCTCTCTCTCTCTCAAATAAATAAAATCTTTTAAAAAAAATAACATTAAGCAAATGTAATGAAACGAATAAGCTAAAATAAAACAAATATATATGAATAAGAATGCATTCTAGAGAAACTATACCTTGGAGGTACAAGAATTACAGTGCTCACAGTGTTGATTCTCTAGGGAAACATACCGTTGACACAAAGGGCAAAATCTAAGGAAGAAAGACTTAAATCAGCTGCACATTTTCAAGAAGATTCACAGAGCAGGTAAATGGCACTTGTTACAAAAACGGAGTGTAATCCAAATTCAATTCAAAATTATAGACCAAATTTAAAGGTAGCAGAAGAACTATATGAGTCACTATTAAAAGCATTTTGATGTTGGACATATAGAACTTGATTCTCAGTGACTCATGTATTACAAGGCCTCACTAAGATCTTACCTGTACCCTTCCTCGCTAGGAAGGATTATTTTGTTGGGTGGAATATTGGTGAAAATACGCACAGGAGACTGTTTTCGACCTGTCTTCCCATGTTTATAAAGTGCATGATTATCATAATCTACCTAGAAAGTTTAAAAAAATTGAAAAAGAAGATTCACTCAAAGGAGTCAACATCTACAAAGACTCTTTAACCAATAAAGAACAAGCTGGTGCCAAGAGAGGAGTTAAACCAAAGTATTTAAGACAAAATTCTTAAAAGCAAAAGTTTACTTCTTAATCGACAGACTCTGAGGGGCCTCGGTGGTGGTGAAATTCCATTATGGAAAAGGTAAACTTTGTTATGATAGATTCATATAGCCTGATCTTAAGAGAACAACTGTAATCTTTTATCCAAAAACAACAGACTTCATAAGAAGGTCTATTAAGGAATTACAAATTCAGCTTTTGGTGCTAAAGAATTCCAACCTTGAAGATGTGTGATGACTTGGCTGGAGCTTTTCATTTTTGTGTGTGAAATCAGCTGCTTGTCAGTTTGCAGGTCACCAAGTCCCAGCACAGCCTTACTTCGAACCCCCACCGTTCACCATTTGACCTCTTATGCCCTGGCCAAGCACAGGGCTGGGGACCAGAGAGCAACTCTGCCACTCACCTGTTGGTGCCTCGAGGCAAATTTACATAATTCTCACCTGGAAAAGGAGGTTACTGAGCCCTGCCTCAGAGATGCTGGGAAGGTTACATGAGACAATGTGCATAAAATGCCAAGTTCGGGGCCTGGCATATATATGGTAGAGACAGAAAGATGCAGATGAAGAGAGAGATTCACAACAATGGTTGTGACTATTTCAAACATTTACCTCTCCTCAAGAACCCTACCTCAGCTTTCAGCCTTGACAGAGCATCTGAAGCTGGAGCTAACAGGCTCAATGTTTATTAGCTTCTTGCTCTCATCTCCTTCTCCAGCCTCTCTGCTATCCACACACATTCTCACTTTGGATTCAAGCCTGCTCAGAATCCACCTAGTCACTAGGTCCATCTTTCTTTAGATCAGTAATTCTCCGAGCACGGAGTCTGGATCAGCCACATCAGCGTCGCCCCTGAGATCTTGTTAGAAAAGCGCATTCTTGCCCCATCAAAGGACCTCCTAAAACAGAAGCTCCTGAGGGTCAGGCCCCACAATCTATATTCTTATTTTTTTTTAAGATTTTATTTATTTATTTGAGAGAGAGAGAGATCACAAGTAGGCAGTGAGTGAGGGGGAACCAGGCTCCATGCTAAGCAGAGAGCCCGATGCGGGGCTCGATCCCAGGACCCTCGGATCATGAACCTGAGCTGAAGGCAGAGGCTTTAACCCACAGAGCCACCCAGGCACGCTGCCCCCCCCCAAACCTGTATTCTTAACAAGCCCTCCTGGCACACTAAAGTTTGAGCACCATTGTTCTAGATTATCCACAAGAATACTGTGAGATTTTTATGAAGTCGGTAAAGGTACAGCCCAACTTTCAAATATGTTATAATGAACTGTTCAGATTCTAAACAAGAATACACTTAAAAGTTGTTCAAAAGAAATGGCTTGCAAACTAGCTCTATTTAATAAGCAAAGCACAAAAATGTAAGGACTTACTGACAATGGAAAGAGAGGGCTTTAATGAGAAATTCCTAAGCTCTCCATACAGCCCTGCCCACAGCTACCACATTAGCAGGTGAGCGAGTTCAGGAAGAGAGATCAACAAGCTATAGCAGTGGGGTGGGGGGAAGTGCCATAGGAGACCCAGTAAGACAAGAGACAGTGTGGGGAAACAAAACAAAACAAGAAACCCTGGGAGTTCTGGCTAACTCTCAGCACCATGAGTCCATAGTCTGGCTAACTGTGCGAAAGCTGGCGTGGGCTCACAGCCGCCCTGTAAGGAAGTGCAATATCATAACAAGCAAAGGACGAGGTTAGATCACGTGAAGTGCTGCATTCAGTCACTGGATATGAAGGGAGATGCTGATAAAACCAGTTCGTTTCTACCAAAAGTAATGGGAATGAAGATTTGTTGTTTAATGTGTTGGGGTGTTTATTAAGAAAAGCGCAAACTAGGAGAATCTGATAGCTATTTTATAACTGAAGGGGTGTCAGTGGAATTGAAATGAGACTCAGCCTTTATTGCTTTGGAGAACAGAAGTAGGACCAATGGTTAGAAGTTAATAGGGAGCATATTTTATCTCAATATGAGAAAATTTTCTAACGATTAGAGCTATTAAATAAATTGAGTTGCCTTGTAAGGCTGCAGGACTTTGCTCACTGAAAGCATTCAAGTGAGGCCGGGTGACGGCTTGTCATGAATTTAGTGGAGAGGATTATTATGGTGGGAAGTTAGCCTACGTTACACCCCTAATGGTTCTTTCCAACTTAAAATTTCTGTGAATATATGTCACCTATTAGAGGCTAAGATACAAAGCAGATTTTACTTCAAAATCACCTTAAAATATTACCATAAGTAGTTTTTTTAAATGATTTCAATTCATAATTCCCCCTAAGCACTCCTCTATGTATTAAATAAATATATGACACTTTATTAAATTCAACAAAGATATTTTGAACACTTGTGAGTGTCCTAAGGAAAAAAAAATTCTTCCCAAGAGAACCTTTCAAAGATCTTCAAATGCTGGAAAGGAGGGCCTTAGAAAGATTTCTAGTAAATGGAATATTCCATGCAATACAATACATAGCAGATGGAAAAGGAGGAAAGAAAGAACAATCTCTTTATGGTTTCCCAAGGAGTCAGAGAACGTATGTGTCAGGAAGGTAGTTGATTGCTTGATTTTGCATAACCTAATTGAGATTATTATTATTTTTAAATGCGGGTTTGTTGTGCTAATTAACTATAAACATATGGTATGTAAAACGCATGCTGCTAGGGTAAATTAATGTACCTCTAACATACATCCATATTTCATAGCTTCATCCACACAAATAAACGTCCTATGGAAGCGCTGTAAAGCAAACACAATTTTGCAAATTGCCTATCACTAGTGCTAGAGCTGATACACCATTTTCCCATCATTATCTCTGACATTTCACTCACAATGATGATGAGAGGCATTTTCAAATAGAAAATTTCTCCCATGGAACTGATTAATGTGATGAAGTACTGTATAGAAATGAGGGAAAGCACAGAATCTCTGCGATTCTTAACTTTTAATTTTATCTATACGCAAATTTCTTCTGTGACATGGGACTGAAACCAGTTATACGGAAACCAAGACGTTCAGGTCAACAGACATTCATTTTGCACCTACTATGTTCTAGGCATCCAGCAGGGAAACAAAGATGAATGAAATAAGACAGAGTACTTGTATTTTCCTAACTTCCTCGGGACTGTGATCTACTTAATTTCACTGCATCAAAAGATCGCCATCAGCCAACTTCCACCAGAGCAAAAAGGTCTTTTAGTCATATTCCCCATATCCCACATACCTCTTATTTAGGAATGCCTGGGTGGCTCAGTCGTTAAGTGTCTGCCTTCAGCTCAGGTCATGATCCCAGGGTCCTGGGCTCGAGCACCGCATCAGGCTCCCTGCTCAGCAGGAAGCCTGCTTCTCCCTCTCCCACTACCCCTGCTTGTGTTCCCTCTCTCACTGTGTCTCTGTCAAATAAATAAATAAAATCTTTAAAAAATAAATAAAAGAATAGCTATCTATATATAGTATATATTTTATTCCCCTTGTCACTCCAAACCCATTAAATGTTTATATTTATTACACATCAGGTTTTAAGAATTTCAGTTGTCATCTTATAATTTGCAATCACTTGTCAGAAATTCCTGTCAAAATATCTTAACTTCTGAACACAAAACTAACCTTGAAAAACAGTTTTCTACATAGGATGATTTTTTAAGGGATAGCTTTAAAACAAAACAAAACAAAGCTCTACTTTTAACAATCCAGACAAATGTCCCGGATTAAGGAAAAACAAGAGATGGATCGTAGCATGTTCCTGGTAGAAGGGAAGTGAGGTGATCTAGTTCAGATATGGTAAACACAGGACCTGAATGTCACCTCGCCCCAACCGGACCCCTGCGGCAGACATCACTAATCAATCACACACTACTCCCTGCCACTGAGCCTGGTATTCTCAACAAATTCTCCAGAAAGTCACTATGAATTCATCAGGCTTAGCACTAAAAGTGAAACTTATCTGCCATCTCTTTCCTCATTCAATCATTTTATTTTATAGGTAAGAAAACAGAGGCCAGGAAAGATAAACTGACTTTTCCCTCTTCAAATTAAAGAGCCTCTAAAAGGCAGTGTGCTAGGACTCACACTTCTAACTCTGGGTCAAAATTTCTTTTCATTATTACATCCTTCCTTTCTAATCTGCCCTTAATAAAATTCTTGCTTTTCTAGGTCTTTGGTGACTATTTTCTTTATTAAAGATTTTGTTTATTTGACAGAGAGATAAGAGAGCACAAGTAGGCAGAATGGCAGGCAGAGGGAGAGGGAGAAGCAGACTCCCCACCGAGCAGGAAGCCTGATATGGGACTCGATCCCAGGACTCTGGGATCATGACTTGAGCCGAAGGCAGACACTTGACCGACTGAGCCACCCCGGTGCCCTTTTGGTGACTATTTTATTCTGTACTCATCAAGTGCTTTATCACTGAAGAGTCTACATAATTTACATTTTATGAAGATCTGCAGCATTTCTGCCTCCCTCTTACCTGAAAAGTATTTCAAACAAAAGAGATTTAGTGATTTTGGTTTTTTTACTGCATTGTGGTTTGCTGGCTTATAATCATCTTGGGCAATGTGAGAAAGAAGTCTAATCAAGGTCTATGGCAGAAGACCTGTGAAGGAGACAAGAGACTTCCAAATTTTTCATTTGATGAAGGCAGCTAATATACACCAGAAAAGAAATTACTATAAAATAAGGTTAAAATAACGAAAGAAAAGAAGGCAAAAGTTTCAGAAAGGATAATAATAACTCCAGAGAAATTTTCAAAAAAGAAAGAAAGAAAGAAATTAAGAAAAGAATGAAGGACGGAACATCAAGGTCAGGTATGACAAATGAAGGCTTATAAACACAACAGGAGATATGGTAAAAATCAGTTTCTCCATCTGAGCATGCAATGGGCTGCAGTGTTCTTCTCTTTAGTAGAAATCAGGAAAAACGAAGATTTATTTTGTTTCACAGACCTTATTCTAGTTTTTCTTTTCAAAGTTTGGCTTTCTCCTTTCTAAAGACTGCTTTTCACTTTGTCTGATACCCAGTCTGAAATGGCCTAGTTAGAGAAACTTTTTTCACCCATACACTGTAAACTTGGACCTTGGAACTGTTTCTCAAAACTCAGACTCCAGAATTTCCACAAGTTCCTTTCTAGTAACACAAACCGTCAAAACAAGCCATGGCTGGTTTCTCCACATGAACCTCTCTTGTGCACTCTACTCTGGATCTGCTTTCTTTGGCTTCTTTGCCATTTCAAACTCTTGCCTGCAGTGAAAACTCATTTCTAAATGTGCATGGAACAGTTTTCTGAGGGACCTTATGTTTCATATACTGTACAAAAAAAATAATAAAATACCCAAAGTAGAGTTTTACCTGCACCCAGAGACTACCTGATTGGTCTTGACAAGGCTGAGAGCAATAACCATTGTTCTACATTTGCTTTGTGTTCGGGACAAGGCTAAGGCTCTTCATGTATTATCTCAAATAATTCCTAAAAACTTATGAGGCAGATATATTATTACTCTGCTTATTTAACAAGTCACAAGATAAAATGTGTAGGCCTCACAAGTAAGTGGCAGAACCAGGATTAAAACTCAGGTCCTTCTCAATTCTGGAGTTCACACTGTTTTTCAAAAATTCAATAAGTGCAAGGCACCTACTCTGTGCCAGACATTGTATTAGATGTACTAGATGATTATTCACTGTCAAAGGCAGCAGGCACTCCTGACAACTGAAAATAGTTTATTTAGTTAACGTCTTTAGGATATGCCTGCTATCTCTGTACTGCAAATGTCAATACTAGAAGTACCCCTCAGACAAGAAACAGAACTATGTGCTCCAGAAAAGGAAAGTAAACCAGATTTGGGAAGAATTAGGATGTGGACTTTGTCTAATGCAGAGCTCAAGAAGTCAAGGTTAAAATGGCTTGTGCTATAAACTTTGGAAAGGAACTGTTATACGGTTCAGTAGCCATAAAAATGTCCATTCAATTTGATAACATAATTTTTGGAACACTATTTCAGTTTTGGAAATTTATTTTAAGGAAGTTATGTAAAATATGGAAAAAATTATGTGAATCAGAGATGTTTATGGCAGTGTTATTTATGGTACCATAAAGGTGAGAGCAAACTGTGTGTTTAAAAAAAAAAAAAGCTAACAATTGATAATATAACCTGCTAATGAAATAATTTAAAGTGATTAAAAGCAGGTGCCTGGAAGGCTCAGTTGGTGAAGATCTGCCTTCAGCTCAGGTCATGATCTTGGGGTCCTGGGATCACACTTCACATTGGGCTCCCTGCTCAGTGGAGAGCCTGCTTCTTCCTCTCCCTCTGCATGCCACTCCCCCCTGCTTGTGCACGCTGTCAAATGAATAAATAAAATCTTTAAAAGAAAATAAAGTGATTAATAGCATAAAGACTATGGAGCTACATTTTAAAATGTACACTTACACAGTGAAGAATGCAGAATTCAGATTCATCTGCTATGATTACAAACCCGTAAAATGTGTCAAATTATGATATTTGCTACTTGGGATGGAATCACAGGTAGGGTTTGCCCTCTCATTTTTGGTAACATTGTTTCTTTCAGAATTTCTAACTAATTTTCCTAATGGTAAATGCCTTCAAGATTAGAAAGATGAGACCCAAGTGCTAGCTTGGAACGGGAGTGAAGACATGTTCATTTTTAGTTCTAGGGCAGAAAAAGCCTTCATCAAGGTAGTCCATTGCTCAGAAAGCTCAAAGAGAAAGATCTCATTACAAAAGAAGAAGCAGTGGCCACCTGGTGACCCCACACGGTGATGGTGACAAGGGGGTTAACTTCAGAACCCAAGGAAATGAAGGCAGGAAAGTAGACATTAAAGCAGCAAGAGTTGAGGGCAGAGGTGGGAAGGAGGGCCAGTCAACTCCACCCTGAAATCAGCACACTCGCCCACACACACGGACCTCAGCCTCTCTGCTTCTCTGACACCTGCCACCTCAGACACACCTCCCTTCAGAGCTCCTGGCATCCTCTGAGTGGCACAGTAAAGTGTAGCTGACATTCCACCGACCAGAAAAAGCGACCAACTTCTCTACAACCTCTGAACAGACAAAACTCCTGTTCATAACAATGACTTTGGGGCCAGTGAGGTCAGCTGGTCTAAAACCTGGCTGCGCTGCAGGATCACCTTGGAAGTTCGGTAAAATGTGGCTTCTTGGGGCTGTACCCTCTAATTTTGACTTCATATGTATATTTTGGCACCTAAGAATCTATATTTTTAATATAGATTTCAGCACCCTAAGAATTACATTTAGGAACCTCTGGACTAAGCCATGTATGTTTCAATTTTAGTGTTTAATACAGCTTATGATATTTTCATTTACTAAAATCAATGGATTGTCTCATCAGAATATTTACTTAAGCAGAATGCCCATTCATCAACCGTGCCAGAAAACAGAATATTTACTATACCTGGTAATCCAGCATGCAGAAGCTTGGAAAAAACTGACGAATTCGGAATTCAAAAAAATAGGGGAAAATCCAGAATATGGGTAGTTCTTTTTGATTGCTATCTAATGGGTCACAAAAAAGGAAAAGAAAATAAGAAACTGATATTGAAAAAAAATAAAAGAGCTGTAACTGAAAGACCTCTAATATTGGGAGAAATTACAATTGTTCAAATCACTTAAATCATACAAAAGAAAAGAATGTTTACCAGAGTGCCATTTACAACTTGACCTTTCCCAAAAGTCAATGGAAATATTCTTTTATATTACATTACATTTACAATATTAAATGAAATATTCATTTAATTAATTTATGAATGAATGAATGAATTTAATTCATTAAAGGAAATATTACATTTACATTAAATGCAGGTATAAATGGTAAATAAGAGTAGTCCTTACACACACAATCTCTGTATTCTAGGTCAAGGCAAAGATATCACCATTAAGTGGGGAATGACAAGGAGCCTGCCTTGGAAGCCCCAAGATCATTGCGTTATGGTGGCAGGAAGCATTGGGCCAGAAGGCAGAAGGCCTCAGGTCAGCATCCCAGCTCTGCCACAACTCGTTATGTCTGTTTTCAGGGATGAATCGATCTTTCCTGAAGCATGGGAGATTCTTAAAAACAATCAAAATTAACTTCAATGACAGGGGACATAGCTATTATTTACAGAGCACCTCATACAGGCTGAGCCCAATGCCAGGTACTTTCTATATATTACCTCCGTATAGTAACCCCTGGAGTTAGATAATAATAATCCCATTTCATAGACAGGGCAACTGAAGCCATAAGATTTAAGTCATTTTTTTAAGTTCATGCAGCTAATAAGTGGCAGAACTGAAATTCAAGCCCATTGAAATTCAAAGAAGAGGAGCTCTTCATTGCTTCTTCAATAACACTGACTTACTTTATCCATTCTGATCAGTGGACTTAAGAACTGAAAATAAGTAGAATACTTAACACTATGAGTCATGTTTCAGATTTCTTTTGCATTCTGTCTCCAAAGCACATTATTTATGTAGCATAATTAAAGGAGAAACCTGATCACAAATTCCTGACACTCTTACAGTTTATCAATTTGCAAACTGGAAACTAAAAAATGATCATACCAACTAATTAGACAGTTAATTAAATAAAATTTTTGAAGGCCTAAGGCACTTTAAACTGAATAATAACCCCCAGCCATTAACCCACCTCTGTCCATGTGGGTATCTGTCTGTCACTGATAACCACTGTACGGTTCGTGCATATCCGATCTTCCTACCCAAATCTTGGCACAGTTTAGAGCTCTGAGCCAGAGACTGGGCCCCCTCTTAGAGCTGTGGGCAAGACTTCAGGTATATGTAATGTAAGATCCATGTAGGCAGGAATACGTATCTGTCTGGTTCAGTCTCTATTTCTAGCACCTAAACAGTACCTGCACACAGGGGCCACTCGGTAAGTATTTATTGAATAAATTACAACAGTTTACTCCTATTCTTCATAAGGTCTCCTTATGTTCACCTACAAGTCATGTTGAGAACATGTGATTAGGATAATACGAAGTGTATCATGATAATGAAGTCTCCCGCATTCTCAAATAAGCCTGTTTAAAAAAAAACACACACACAAAACTCAAGACATGTATATTTTATCAGAGCTCTGATTCACTGAGCTCTGCTAATATTTGACAGAAAGCAGATACACAGATACATGTTTATTTCACAGTAAGTAATAAATTACACACCTTGGCTTTGACCTTCTTTCCACATAGCAATTAACTTCTTGAATGTAACAGCCAGAGGTTCAACCAAGCCACCAAAAGGAGGATCCGTCACCATAATGACTCCCTCACCTTTATCTTCCTGTAAAAATGTTCTGCATACTTCAAGGGCAGCCTGGAACAAATAAAAATTCATTTCTAAATGAGGACTAGAGGGAGGCACTCCATCCTATTCAGAGAATGCAATAGGCTCAGTCCCACTGTTTGTCCTGAAACCTCACCCATCCTGCCACCCCAGAGTCCCTCAGTGACATCCGGAAGCCTCTCTCATTCAGCCCCCAGGAGATTTTATCTTTTGGGTTCCTTGATAAGCACGTTTTTAAAATTGCAAATTCAAGCACCATCCCTATCAGAGGACTACACATTTCAAATGGTTAAATTAAAAAACTAAATTTAGTAACCCAAGAGAGAAAAACTCATTACCCATGAAGACTATCTAAAACACTAAATTCAATCCCACAAACAGAAGCGGGGACTGAGCTAAACACTGGAGACACAAAGACGAATAAGACCTATTTTTTTCCTGTGTGGTTTGTCCACCACGAGTTCAGTTTAATAAGAGCTACGCGTTACCAGTCACCTCGCACACGTCGCTGGGCAGCAGGTGTTGGACAGACATGTTTGGACACGCACACTAAGTAAATGAATGAAAGTCCACAAACAACAAAGCTTGGCCAAGCCACGAAACCAGGCTATTAACGAAGTGTTTTTAGTCACTGTAAAATTAACATTAGGCACTGTCTAGCATATATATTATTTTCTGCTTCGCGAGAACAGATAATAAGAGATATACCTATAACACTAACCCCAGTCTACTGACTTCGCAGTCATTTTCAAGCACTCACCTATAAAAGCAAATCAACAGTATACAGAATAGCCTAAGACTTTAAAGTTTAATGGCATTTTAAACTTTAATAAACCCATATGTACTTTATAATAAAAAATATATTGTTTTACTACTAAATCAATTTAGAAGACTCAATTGATGAGAGGAAAAACGACAACATCCTAATCCCCTTTCCCGGGGACAGTCTTTATTAACTTCCCGCTGGAAGTCCTGGAGCGAGGGATGGCGTGTCAGGAAGGTTAATCATTTTTCAAGTGCCGCCTGGCACTTCCTTAACCTGCCTACATGAACAAGGACTTACAGTACAGATGATGTTATTGAAAAACCTTCCAGTTCCTTAGACTTAAAAGTAGGAAAAGAAAAGAAACAAGTAAATGAAACCTAAAGTCTTAGCCAAATTAAAAAACCAAGAGCGTACATTTGTTTCCAGGTAAGAATCAACGGTATGACGTCCAGTCATGACCTGCTGAGGGTCCTAAATGTTGGCCACCTGTGGAAACCAGATGCTTGCTTATGCCACCAATGCTGACAGTGTCTTAACTCTGTCTTTCATCTCAATCATCACTAAAAAAGTGCTTGGTACTTTATTATTTTTTTTAAAGATTTATTTACTTACTTGTTTGAGAGAGAGAGAGCACAAGTGCATGCACATGAGCAGGGGGAGGGGCAGAAGGAGAAGGAGAGAGAGCATGGAGCTGAGCAGGGAACCCAAACAGGGCTCCATCCCAGGACCCTGGGATCATGACCTGAGCCAAAGGCAGACACTTAATCTACTGAGCCACCCAGGTGTCCCCAAGGTGCGTGGTACTTTAAGTAACGATCCCCTGTACATACTTCAATCTCCTTGCCCATTAAAGCGTATGACATTTTCTATTACCTGAAAGACTATATGATTTTCTATGAGAAAATCCTGCACAGGGAACTCCTGCTTTTTAATCCAGTGGGCTGTGAAGTGTGTATGGTCCGTGACAGGGGCTTATATCCCCCAAAGCACCCTGCACACCTTCACAGGCGCCTGGCTGATACTTAAATACTGAGCGATTGATTAGTAGATGGTAAGCCTCCACAGAAAACCTTGACTCAGGAACTAGGCAGAAAAAGGGCCCATCATAAAATTATCCAAGACAATAGTTTTCTGGAGATCAATCTCTACAGTTGCAGTGCTATGTAAAGGCTGCTCCTAAAATATAGAGAAAGGAAAGTCTGGGCTACACAATTGTTTTCTTCTGGGAAAAATAAAGTGGAGCTCATCTTGGCAGCTTATTCCAACCATTATTTTAGAAACTTAAAAGATAATTCTATAAGCTTTCAATAAAAGTTAAAAAGAATTTTCTAGGAAAAGGCTAATTACATATTACATTTTTAAAAATATTTTATTTATTTATTTGACACATACAGAGAGAGAGAAAGAGCAAGCACAAGCAGGGGAAATGGCAGGCAGGGGAGAAGCAGGCTCCCTCAGCAGGGAGCCCGATGCAGGGCTCGATCCCAGGACCTGGGATCATGACCTGAGCTGAAGGCAGATGCCCAACACACTGAGCCACCCAGGTGCCCCTACATGTTATTCTTAAAATATAAGCAATGGTTAGGCAACTGTTAGGTATTCAAACGTCATTTCACTTTTTTTTTTTTTTTAAGATTTTATTTATTTATTTGACAGAGATCACAAGTAGGCAGAGAGGCAAGCAGAGAGAGAGGGAGAGGCAGGCTCCCTGCCAAGCAGAGAGCCCGATGAGGGACTCGACCCCAGGACCCTGAGATCACGACCTGAGCTGAAGGCAGAGGCTTAAGCCACTGAGCCACCCAGGTGCCCACGTCATTTCACTCTTATCTCACCATTACTATTCAAGATAGAAAGCAAAGTCATGGTATGAAAAACAAGACGCACATACACAACCAGCATCCAGCAGTAAGAGACACTCGGTTATTTCACCTCCTCTGACGCTGGCCCTGACACACATGCCCCTGACCACACCCTGGAGCCTGAGGCCGCAGAGTTCCAAGAAGCCATATTGAATACCTCTACAGCAATATTCCACCTTCCCCCCCAAACCCAACATTTCCAACTTCCACTTCTAACTTCCCCTCCTCTGTTTTGAAGAATGAAATACAAAGCCAGGCCAGACAACCAAGTCATCTGTGACTTCTACCCCAGTACACTTACCACCGAGCCTTCTGGCTTCCATCTCTGAAACGCCCACAGAACCCACCTCTATTTTCCCCACCACCACTGGCCTAGCTGAGAAGTCCATCATCATCTGTTGTCAAGTGAGTCTGCAATTCTTCTCTCTTCTTCACACTCATCTATCAGTTCTCAAATCCTAGAGATTATTGACCACATAAGCCCTTTGGGAAACTGAACTATGTCTATTTCTAACTGCTATTTATTTCAATACTTGGTTTTCATGGTGATCACAGCTAAAAAATATATACCCCAATGCTGACTGAGTCTCACGGAAGGAGTTCATCATTGGCTGGACTGAATCAGGAGACTCATTTTTTAATCCCAACCAACAATTTAGAATTTGTTTTCATTTCCTAGATACTAGTTTTTTTTTAGTTTTGCTTGCTTTTTCTTCTATCATTAATTAACATTTTAAGAAACAATATATATTTATACACGGTTCACAATTTTTGAAAAATTGATTTACATGCTTATATGGATATGTGCTTCAGGTAGTCTTGATCATTTCAAACAGTTGTGGCCAACTTCCTGTCAGGTGTGATTACTTGGTTGGGTATAGTTTTTATCTTGTAATATGACTCGCAAAGAGCTCAATCTAGGAGTAAAAGTATCAGCTCTGCTATGCTGCTTATTCATAGTGACATTACTAACATCGTATTATTGAAAGAAGCCACCCTCTGCTACCCATTGAGGGCCCCTGCCATTATCACCATCACTATCACCCAGAGCTCACAGATAAGGGGTCACTCTCAAATTTGTCTAATTTTTAAGAATTAGTCTAATAAAACTATGAATCCCCTTAATCGGGACATGAAATTTACCAGGGAGGCAGACATCAAACATCTAACCACAGAGTTATTTAATTACAGTATCATACAGCTACAGAGGACAGCCTGACCTTGTCTGGGGTTAAGGGAAGCCTAGAGAAAGCGACTTGGAACAGAGCTTTGAAGGACGAGGTGCAGTGAACAGAAACTAGAAGGCAGAGGGAACAGCATGGGCAAAAGCCTGTGTGGTGGAAAAGACAGTCACAGATGAGTCATACATCCAGAACACAAACACAAACCCCAGAGCAGGAATGAGAAGAGAGACTGGAGGGTGGCATGTCTCTGATCGGGCAAAGCCCTGGAGGCCGTGGTAAGAAAGTGTGTCTGTATCCAAAAAGCAGTGATAAATCACAAAAGAAGAATAGCACAATCACTTCTAGATGCTCGATACACACTCAGTAGATGAAGGGAAAAAAAAGCCAATCAATAAATGGTGCAACAGTCATGATTTGATCTTGAGGGATTCTAAAAAATAAGAAAGGAGGTACTCTGGAACTTGTTCTTCCGCAATAACAAGGATAACGGTTGCAATTCTTACCTTTCCATCAAAGAAGTGATGGTTAAACATGTTATAATGGCAAAAGCTATCTTCCATATAAAACTGTGAATACCTGTAAAATAATTTATTACTGTAGTTATTTCCCCAGTTATGGCTATATAGTAAGTAAATACAAACTAAGTTTTAAAACTATAAAATCACACCCTTAATAAAAGCAACTTCATCATTCCTTAGTTTCTTGAAATAAAGAATACTTTCCGAAACTCTCAGGGAGTCAGTAACAATGAATGAATATCAAACTTAAATTATGTTCCCAAGTCAATAAACCAGTGAGAAAACTACAGAAGACTCACATACAAAATTCACATGTTCCTTCAAACTACAGAATTATACAGAAACAATGATATTACTGATAGATTGTTATACAATTTAAGTTTGAGGTGGGCTGGCAATTAAAATACATCTCTCATACTTAATAATTTCAAGAGAAACACTGAATCAACATTTTGGCTCAACAGCTGTTAATTATTTTCTTCTGTGGTTAACAAAAAAAATATTTAATACAAAGCATTTCTTGTCTATTGCAGATTAGCTCAATAAAATATGCTTCTCAATATATAAGAAAAATAAGCATGTGCATTTCATATTTACTGAATTAGTGCCAGGAAAGAGAGATATTTATTTACTGATTGAACAATTTTATTCTTCGAAGATACTACTTTAAAATGCAATCAGTAATGAATGAAAGTACCAGCTTTGGGCATTAACATTTTATAAATTTTTGCTAATTTACTAAAAATTCATAGCACATTATGGTTTAAATTTGCATTTACTTGATTTCTTACAAGACTGAGTTTTCTTTACACCTTAACTGTATTTGTATTGTCTGTCTCTGCATCTTCCCCCTTTTTATATATATGGGTCTTGTTAGCTCTTGCTGAATTCTGAATTTTTTGTATAATATCAGGATAGCATTGTGAACCTCCAAAATTTTGCTATAAACAACTCACATACGAACCACACTATCCTTGTACAGAATCCATAACCTAGTGAAAAAAATCCAGGCGCACATGCTTATTTATACGACTTCTTTAACCAAATCGTGAGAATGACACTTTGCTTCTACTTCTACTCCTCCCTTACTGTCCATAACTGACTTGCTGCCCATGATGAGCATGTAGTCTAATGGACAGACCTGCTTTATCCCTTTCATGTTACACTATGGTTAAAAGTTATACAGGTTCTGGGACGCCTGGGTGGCTCAGTTGGTTAAGCAGCTGCCTTCGGCTCAGGACATGATCCCAGCGTCCTGGGATCGAGTCCCGCATCGGGCTCCTTGCTCTGCAGGGAGCCTGCTTCTCCCTCTGCCTCTGCCTGCCATTCTGTCTGCCTGTGCTCGCTCTCTCTCCCTCTCTCTCTGACAAATAAATAAAATCTTAAAAAAAAAAAAAAGTTATACAGGTTCTGTAGTCAGACAGTCTGGTTTCAAACACTGGGTCTTGGGGGGCCTGGGTGGCTCAGTCGGTTAGGCATTCAGCTCTTGATTTTGGCTCAGGTCATGATCTTGGGGTTGTGGGATTAAGCCCCACACAGGGATCTGCACTCAGCTTGTCCCTCTCTCTCCCCTTCTACTCCTTCCTATATTCTCTCACACACACTCTCTCTCTCAAATAAAATCTTAAAAAAACAAAACAAAACAAAACACCAGGTGTCTCACTATTACCTATGTAACCTTAGTGAGTTAGTTATCCTACCAGAGCCTCAGTTTCTTCATCTACAAAATGGAAAAAAATAATAGTGTCTTACTTCATTGGAATTGGTAAGTATAAATGAGAAAATATATGTAAAGTGTTTAATACAAAGCAGCTACATAGCATATACTGAAATGCTAGGCATCGCTACTTTAATAAGTATCGGCTATAAAGATTTACGTCTTAATGCCCCTCATGTTAGGGAATTACATTTATGTCCAAGCAAAATTTCTCCTCCTATAATCTAAACCCATTTCTTCTTGTTCTGTAGAGACAGAAGAACAGCTGTTCATTCTAAGTACAATGTCCCCTAATATCATTTGAGATACTGTCAGTACATCTGCAGATTTCATAAAACATAAATTTGCACTGAAGAAATAAAAGGTTTGGATAACTGAAAAAACATTTGAAATAGACTGTAACCTGATGAACATTCCAGAATGCTGGGAAAATGTCAATTGCCATCAATAAACAAATGTCTTCCTAATTAACTAAATTCCAAATAACGGATAATATAGGTATATCAGTTATTTTATATGTAAGTATATCTCAATACCAGTACCATTGTGGATCGACTATCATTTGAGGATTTTCTTCTTTCTTGCATTGCTGTTAAGTGTGAACAAAGGAAAATAGAATTCCTTTAAAATATATTTCTACCCCCTCTCCATTTTTTTGTATTGCTTCTCAAAGATACAATAGTCTTTTTCTAAAAATTAAAAAAGAAAATTTTATTTACATAAAATTCAGCACAGCACACTTGTCCAAAACATTCTGGGCAGCAGTAGGCAGAGTCAGAGAGAGGAAAAAAGCCAAGATTTCAGCTCTGAGTTTCCATCAAATACAAACAAGGGAGCATAATTTTTCATATTTTAAATTATGAAAAATCACTGAACATTACCCTCTTAAAATGAAATTGGCCTCGAAGAATTATTCTCTGTATTGAATAAGGCAAACAAAACCAATCAGAAATGCATGCACTTGAAAACTGCAAAAGGACATTCATTTAATTTGGCCATTCATTCTCTTTAAATGAGAGTCAGTTACCAAGTGTGAAACATGCTCTATACACAGGAAATGTAATCAAGAGCTGAATAAAATTAGTCCATGAAATGAACCTAAGAAATCCATTTTTTTGATATAACTTTATTTGGATGATAGTTTGCCAAATAGAGTTTCACATCTTTCATGCTAAAATTGGAGCTTATAAAAATCCATCTTAGCAAATGTTAACTTCATATCTTAGACCCCCTAAAGAGGATATTTATAGCATATGTAACATTGGAGTTGGGGTAGTTCTCTGAAGCCTTGGACAGACCTTTTGTAGGCTGATGACAAACTAAAGTCAAAGTGTCCAAAGTAACTACTTGCTGTCACTCTATATTACATACGAATTTGTTCCTGATTTAATTGTGGTCCTTGTGAAAAATCTGAAGCTACTCCATACCCCACAATATCGTCAGTAAAGGCAACAGACTGTTCACTCTGGCCACAAACGTGTTTCAATAAAATGAAATCTCTCTCTTTCTCTTTTTAATTTACTGGGACGAGGCATAGGGAGAGGGAGAGAGAATACCAAGCAGGCTCCATACCGGCCCAATGTGTAGTTCAGTCTCATAACCCTGAGATTATGACCTGAGCCGAAACCAAGAGTCAGACACTCAACCGAATGAGCCACCCAGGTACCCCAACGAGCTCTCTCAATACCCAATGTCAACCTTTTACAGAACTGACTCCATATAAAAGAAGCTAAGCTAACTATTACAATACCTTTAGTTTTTGTTTCCAACATATACACAGAAGTTTATAGATACAAAAAGAAAAAGGTATCAGTATTTAATAAGTTACAAAATAACTTTATCCACATCCCCCTACTCTGTCCAGGAAATTTTAATATACAGGCTCAAGAAAGATAAAACTAAAAAGACATATAGCTTACATTAAGAGTTAAGGGTCCATGTAAATCTTTCAAATTAAAAGTAATTCAGCTATGATGGAGAGTTCTGGTGACTGGCTGTAGAACAACGTGAAGATATTCAACTTACTTAACACTACTGAACTGTACACATAAATAACTAACGTGGTAAATTTTAACCAATGTGTGTTTTATCACCATTTTTTTAAAAATAAATCAGGACGCTAGGAATGAACAATACAAAATGAAATGTTTAAAATGAAATGAAATGTTTAAAAAATTTAATTTTTAATAGTCTAGTATCCAGAATATATTTACTTTTCAACTTAACAAAAACAAAGACAAATAACCAATTAAAAAATGACAGTTGAATAGACACTTCTCCAAAAAGATAAACAAATGGCCTATAAGCACATGAAAAGATGTTCAGCATCATGAGCCATTAATAAAATGCAAAACAAAATCACAATGAGATACCACATTAGAAAGAAAACAGGGGCGCCCGGGAGGCTCAGCTGGTTAAGCTCACCAAGCTGAGCTTGATTTCAGCTCAGGTCATGATCTCAGGGTCCTGAGATCAAGCCCTGCATAAGATTCTTTCTTTCCATCACCCTCTGCCCCTCCCCCTACCTGCCTGTGTTCATTATCTCTCTCAAAAAAATAAGTAATTAATTTATTTAAAAATACAGATAGACAATAACAAAAGCTGACAAGAATGTGGAGAAATTGGAATCTGCATATATTGCTGGTGGAAATGTAAAATGGTAGTCACCTTAAAAAATAGTTTAGCAGTTCCTCAAGAAGTTAAAAGTAGAGCTACCACGTGACCCAGCAATTCCACTCCTAAGATTCAACCTTTATGGGTTGAACTGTAACTCTTCAACATTAATCTACTGAACCCCTAATCCCCAGTATCTCAGACTATGACGGTATTTGAAGACCTTTTAAAAAGGTAATTAAAATAAAATGAGGTTATTAGGGTTGTCTGTGATGCAAGATAACTGGTGTCCTTATGAAAGAGGAAATATGGACCCACAAAGAGAAACTGGGGATGTACACACACAGAGGACAGACCATGTCAGAATACAGTGAGAAGAAGGTCACCTGCAACCAAAGGAGAAAGACCTCAGAAGTCACCAAACCTACTGATACCTTGATCTTGAATTTCTAGCCACCAGAACTGAGACAATAAATTTTTGTTGTTAAAGCCACCCTATCTATGGTTATTTTATCGCAGCCCTAAAAAATTCGCACAATACCCAAGAGATAATAAAACCTATATTCACACAAAATTTGCACACAAATGTTCACAGCAGCATTATTCAAAAGAACCAAATGCGTAAGTGACACAAATGTCCATAAACTGATGAATGGATAAACACAATTTGGTATATCCTTATAATGGAGTGTTATTTAGCCATAAGAAAGTATAACTTGATGAACCTTGAAAATACTACATTAAATGAAAGAAGCTAGATACTAAAGGCCACATATTGTATGAATGCATTTTTATGAAATATCCAGAATAAGCAAATCTATAGAGACAGAAAGTAGATTAGTGATGGCCAAGGGCTGGGGGAGGGGGGAAAGAGGTGAGGTCACTCATGGGGACCATGATGGAGACACCATCAAAGATGATGGAAATGTTTGGAATTATGTAGTGGTGATGGCTGCACAACCTTGTGAAGAATACTAAAAACCTCTTTCCTCTATGTGAAATACATCTCAATTTAAAAGACAAAAATATGCCTGATATTTGGTGGGGGAAAAAAGACTGATTTTACTTTTTAAAATGTTTATATGCATAAAAAAGGTCTAAAAAGCCAAAATCCATAATGTTTTGGGTGACAGAATTAAAGACCATGTCTCTTTAATAAGCTGCTATTAAAAAAAAAAAAAGTAAACTGGAGATCCTTGAAATTTGAACAAGTCAAGATGAATCACTGATTTTTTTCTAGTTTGTGTAGAAACCAGTCCACCACAACTAGCTTGGAAAAAACTTGACCTGAATGAAATAAAAAAACAAACTGCATGGTAACTTCGAAGAACTGTACTATTAGAAAAACAACCCTGTACCATTTTCACTGAAGTAAAAGTCCCAAAGGTAGGAAGGTGAGTGCTGCTGACAACTGATACACATTACGTTAAATAATTCAGTTTTGGACACGTGACGTACGTGTGTGTTTGTGTGTGTGTGTGTGTGTGTGTGTGTGTTTCTGTGTCTGTGTGTGTCTCCCCTGCACCTATGGTCAGAGAGGGTTTCCTTTGGTGAACCCACTCAATGTGTTTGGTCAGGGCTGCCAGGGAATTCTACCTGCGAGGCCACAGAGAAGGTTCTGGAATAGGCATACAGCTCCAGCCAAGCCAGTTCCTCCCTGGAGCTGTGCTGCTGGGGCTCTCAGGAAAGAGAGCTGTTTCCTAAACAGTTAAACTGAAATCTGCTGCCACCAAAATCCCTGGCAGTGAGCGGGAAGTAAATGGTAGCATAAAGCCAATCCCGAGAAAGAACGAGAGGTGGAAAGAGAAAGATGCAGCCAGAACAACACCAGGCAAGGCCCAGGACCTCGCCTGCATGGAGGCCTGCTAGATCCTAGGCTCCAGTCATGTGAGCCAATACATCCTATCTGACATAAATAGATCTCCAGGCTCCAAGGAAAAGGTGCCTGATGAAGGAGGGCCTTATTCCAAATATATGAATAACCTGTAAACCCATTGCTGACTCATGTGAACCTTCGTGGAACAGGCACGGGGGAAAATGGGGAAAGGGAGAGACATTAGGACAAGAGAGAAATGGGCCACATAAAAAAAGCTTCTATACAAATTTAAAAGCAAGTTATTCCCAGAGGGTATCTTAATTTTGGAGCCACAATGACTGGGTTTGAATCCTGACTTGGCCACTCATCACTGTTAGGTCAAGTTATTTCACCTCTTCGTACCTTGATTTTCACATCTGGAAAACGAGGAGGATAACAGCACGTACTGTACAGGGGAGACTCTTGTGAGGACTGACTGAGGGAGAGCAGGGTTTCACCCAGGACAAGCACTCAGTGCGAACACCCAATGCAAACACCAGCTACTGTTTGCACTGTTATGATAAGAACCCCAGAGTTAAACTTCTACCTTTAAAATAATACACTGACAATAATTTAACAGTCATTCTTCAGGAAAGGAATGTGGTATTTAAAACAAGAATCTGATACATCTATCCAGTGGAACGTCAATACAGCCTCAAAAGGAGTAAAGTACTGTTCCATTCCGTGAACTGGATGAACACAGCAGCACGTGGGAGAGGCCACAAGCACAGGTGCATGAATGCATTTTTACAGGACACACACAGAACCAACAGACCCACAGGGACAGAAGCCAGATCACTGACCATCACAGCAAGTGGGGAGAGGGTTTCTTTTCGGTGTAATGGAAACGTTCCAGAATTGGATGGGGGTGATTACTGCAAGACATAATGAAAATACCCCAAACCACTGGCACACACACCTTAACTTGGTGAGTTTTCAGTGCACTGTGTCTCAATTTAAGACTTCAAACAACTGCAGAAAGTAGGAAAAGTACTTCAAGTTTACAGGATCCCAGAGACTGTGGGTGGACACATCTGCTTCTAAATTATCACCTAAAGGGCCACGTGTGCTCCTCTCTGTTTGTCCCAACACATCAGATGCTATTTAATTCTGACCTTCTCCCACAGACTCCAGCTGTCTGCTAATCCTCTGCTTTAAGACCTATTTCCTGATTGAATTCAGGCTATATCCAGTGAAAGCCAATATGCACATCATCTGGTAAAATGTGTTTTACCAGATGAATAAAATGTGTTAAAGTAAAATACAGTAAAAGAATTAGAATAAAATGAAATAAATTAAATAAATATACATATGCATTAAATAAATATATTAAAACATGATGAAACAAAATCCTGGGAGAAGTTCAGATTTATTTTTGAAAAATAAGTGTATGAGAGAAAATTTCAGTCAGTAAGAATTTATCTCTAAATTACAAGCCCAAGTCAATGAGATACATTCACTGAAAAACTTTAGGAAGCACACCCAACAACAACAACAAAAGAAATCCACTGCCTTTCTGTTTGAAATATGGAAGATTACAAGGAGAGTTTATATGACTAAAAAGGTGGCTTCTAACCAATTAATACTTCTGAACAGTAAAGGACTGCAACAGGTAATAAACAACAAGAGAAAAACATTAAACAGAAACAGGAGACAGTGAACAAGAATAAATATCAGACTTTATAAACCTACCTAAAATCGATATCCAATAAAAGGCTTTTAATGTTAGACTTCTTTTCACCTGATGCTTTCAATCTGATCAGCTCATGCAACCTAAAACAATTCATGAAAGCAAACTTAATGAGGAATCACAAATGCCACAGATAATAAGCAAATAAACCAAAACAACCCCACCAATGTTCTCCTGGTATTTCTAATATTTCAGTGAAACACTGAAGAGAATTTGGCAGATATAATCAAGGTTTCGGTTTTTCAAACATTTTTAAAAAGGTAGAACTTATCTGAAAAAGAGGAGTCTAAAACGATAAGCAATTAGAAAATCAAATCAGAAGGAATCTCCTGTCATATATCAGAAATCTACAAAGATTTCTCTGAAATGTAATGTAGATTACGAACTCCTCAAGAGAGGGACTGTGCTTTATACTTCTCTTGCTTATTTGAAACTGCATGTGATTTCCCAGAACATAGTAAATAACTACGTGATCATTTTTTCTTACAGTTTAAATAGTGGGGATAGTAGAAGTCTTTAAAAAATCATATAGCATACCTCGGTGTTCCAACACACAGGACTCTTGTGAATCCAAGGGTAGAAAGTAGGTCTACCAAGAACTGACAGCTCCGATCAGTGAACAGATACTGGGCATTTGTCTTCTTGTTTTCCAGTGGATAAAGAAGCTGACTGGGCCTTTTCAACTGGGTGACAGAAATATCACCTACCACCCGATGCTCCTGATGCCTCTCCCAGTCATCTGGCAACAGCAGCTGCTGACATCCCTGACAAAACTTCCTCTGAGACAAGGGCAACTCAATGAACTTCACGTACCTTCAAGACATAAGTCAACACAAAGTCACAAATTTTAAGTTTGGTGTTTTAAAGACAATTTCTGTTTGCTCTTTTTGGGAGGCACAAAGTACTATTACCTCCTAAAGAGTACTGTGTAAAGAAGCAAAGGTAAGAAAAATCTGTGGAATGTTGGCTGGAATTGATGTCCAGCTGAATACCTACAAAGTAGAAAAGAATCAGCAATTTTATAAGAATTGAGATGCTCCAATTCAGTCACTGAATGAGGATCAATATCCATTTAAAATGTGAATATAATATATTACTCAAACAACTTAGTAGTAATGGAGACTACCATCACGTTTAAATTTATTGACAAATCCATGTGTTCTAACTCTGAAGTGTTAAATAGTCTGGCTCAGTATGACAGTCATTTTAAAATGAGAAATTAAGATCATTCTTCAATTTTTCATGGCATACTTAGCAAGAAAAATTACCTCCTAGGAGAAAAAATGTTGCTACAAAGTTCCTCTATTCTTAGCAGCATGGAGGAAAGCAGTTCTGAAAAAGCTCATCCCCCAAAAGCAAGACAATATCCAAAGCCTTTAAAAAAAAAAAAAAAAAAACCCATACTGATATCCCATTTGATTCCTTCCAAGTCATCCTCCTATCTGATTTCAAAGTTACCACTTTGGGGTTTTTTCCCCCTTTCATTTTATTAGAGATAATTAGAGAGAGAAAATAATCACGGCACATTATTTTAAAACTGCTGATTTTGTACATGCAGTAGCAGCTATGAAATCAGAGTAAGAAAACCAAAGAAAAACAAACACCAGTATCAAGGCCCGCAGCGGGTCGGCAATGTCCAAATCTAAGCATGTCGAATACTGCACTTTATAAAGGGTTCTTAGAGTTCGAGAAGAGGCCCACAGTTTCAACTGACGAACCCCTAGAACTGCACTGGAAAAACTGTGAGCTTCACATAGAATCAAAGTGGGCTTTAAAACTTTTTATATCTAGGGGCGCCTGGGTGGCTCAGTAGGTTAAAGCCTCTGCCTTCGGCTCAGGTCATGGTCCCAGGGTCCTGGGATCGAGCCCCACATCGGGCTCTCTGCTCAGCAGGGAGCCTGCTTCCTCCTCTCTCTTTCTGCCTGCCTCTCTGCCTACTTGTGATCTCTATCTGTCAAATAAATAAATAAAATCTTTAAAAAAAAAAAAAAAAAAAAAACTTTTTATATCTAAGCACGGCTTCACTTGAAAGCACCCAAGGCAGTGACAAATCGATACTCTGAATGGCTACAGCAAGAAATAAGCTTATCGCGTCAGTAATTTAAATGTTTCTATTTCTATGATAACTGTGCTTCTGACAGCTTTATCTATGGCTGGGAAGAGAAGGGAGAGCGGTATTAGGAGAAACTTTTCTAGTAATTCAAAGTAAGAATGTCAGTAGAGAAAACGGCCCCTAAGACAGGAAATGCAGTAGAAAGAACCAGGACATTCTCCAGCAACAGAAACACTGAATTTACGACTACTATCTTTCATTATTAAAGGTAAAGAGTTGAAGGCTTCCACATCCAGCCATGATGGAGTCAGAGACCAGATTTACCCATCCTGGCCCTCAAAATTTTTTAGACAAAACATATGAAAGTACAGTTATAACATAATGGACGACAAGCAGCCCCAACAGTGAAGAGGAAAAGGGAACACATGAGGGACTGCTACACCTGCCCAGTTTACTGCCTGTGGAGAGCTGGTGACACGGGCACAGAAAACCCAAACACAGCTCAATGACTTGACCAGGCAGAGTTAAGAAGTGCTGGAGGCGAGGGAGGCTGGAATCCACAAGGCCGAGTACCAGAGAAGATACATGTGGAGTCCACAGGCCAGAAAGCAGGCCACTGAGAGGGAGCTCCACGGTTTGCCATGATTCCCCTCAAGTCTGTTGCTGAGTACTGAGCAGCATGTGCATGTGAAGAAAGACCCCAAAGCGAGGGAGAGAACCGCTGGAAAGGAGCAGGCAGAACAATCACCAGATACCCAACAGGACACAGAATGGTTCCAATCAACAAGCCCGAATGAAGAAATCTTCTAAGACACAAGCATCAGTGCTAACAAGGGTAATTGCCTCAGAGTGGGGAGCACCTAGTCCTACCCTCCAAGGTGCCCCAGTCTTGCCAAAAAGCTTAAAAGATAAGCCTTTAAAAGCAAGGAACAACAAACCTTTTCTGTACAGGATCAGGTAATAAATCTCAAGCTTGGCAGGCCATCTGGTTTCTCAGTCTCATCCACTCTGTGACTGTAGCACAAAACCCAGTGTTACTGAACAGGCCTGACCACAGCTGGCCCTCACCCTGCAGTTTCCTGAATCCTGCTCCACAGTATCAAACTACAGCCAAGTAACAACGGCATTCCAGGAATGAAGCTCAAAGATATGGAAAGGAATAAAAACTCCCCAGGATACAAGAAGGTAAAATGGACACTGCTAGCACTGAATCAAGTATTATCAGGTATGTAAGAAACAGGAACACATGACCCATGGTTAGGGGCACAACACCAACAATCAGTTCCAACTGAGTCCGAAATGACGGAGATGCTATGATCAGTAGATAGAGACATCAGAGCCATCGACTGTAACTATACTCCGTATGTTGAAGTGGTAGAAAAAAGCACGAGCCTGTTAAGTAAAAACACAGAAAATATTAAAAAGACCCAAATCGAACTTAAAAGTATTTTTTAATTGTCTGAACTGAAAAATACCCTGGATGGGATTAATAGCAATTTAGATATTACAGAGAAAAGATCAGTGTATATGAAGGCACACAGCCTTAGAAATTATCCAAAATGAAACATCAAGGGACCAAAATACATGAAAATGGACCCTCAAGAGGGGCAGGCAGAAAAATTTTTGAAAAAATTATGGCTGAAATTTTCCAAAAATTACATCAAAAGATTGAAGAAGCTCAGAGAACCTCAAGCACAAGAAACATGAAGAAAACTACAATGATGCCTCATAATAAAATTGTTCAAAATCAGTGAGAAAGAGAAAATCTTAAAATCAAAAGAAAAAAAGACATGTACAGAAATAAAGATTAAGAACGATAGCAGATTTCTCACTGGAAGCAATGCAAAAAAGAAGACAGTGGGGCAATACCAATTCCACACAAACCCTTCCAATACACTAAAGAAGAAAGTACAGTTCCCAATTCCTTTCATCAGGCCAGCATGACCCCAATACCAGACCAGAAAAAAAAAATTATAAGAAAAACAAAGATGAATAAACCTCATAAACACAAACTCAGAAACTAATAGAGTTTTAGCAAATCAAAACCACGGTATATAAAGAAGGTAACAGACCATGACCAACTGTAGGTTAGGCCAGGAATGCCAAGCTGCTTCAATGTTTGCATTCGATCAACATAAGCCACCATATTAACAATCGTTAAAAAAAAAAAAAATCATCTCATCAAGTGCAGAAAAAAAGAACTTGACAAAAATCACTCATTCACGAGAAAGATTCTCAGAAAACTAGGAACAGAAGAGAACTTCTACAACCTCATAAAGGGCATCTGAGAAAAACCTATAGTTTAACACCATACTTGTAAAAGACTGAACACATTCCTCCCAAGACTGGGACACAAGCAAAGATGTCTACTTTTACCATTTCTATTCAACACTGACCAGGGATTCCAGTCACTTTGATAAGACAAGAAAAAGAAATAAAAGGCAGAGATTGGAAAGGAAACATAAAAATTTTATCCACAGGGTTATCTGGCTGGCTCAGTCATTAAGCATCCATCTTCAGCTCAGGTCATGACTCCAAGATCTTGGGATCAAGACCCACATCGGGCTTCCTGCTCAGTGGGAGGCCTGCTTCTCCCTCTCCCACTCCCTCTGCTTGTGTTCCCTCTTTTCCTGTGTCTCTCTCAGTCAAATAAATAAATAAAATCTTAAAAAAAAAATGTTATCCACAGACAACATGATCTTTTATGTAGGAAGTCCTGAAGAAATATTTTTAAGAAGTTGCTACAACTAGAAAGTAAGCTAATCAAGATTATAAGATAAAAGATTAATAAACAAAATCAACCGTATTGCTTACAGACTGGCTAATTTGCACATCATCAATCTTAAAATCACACAAAGTGAATAACCAGACATTATCTATGTAATACAAAAGGAAATATACCCCATTACTTATAAAAGAATACTGTACCCTAAAACTGAACACAAGTCTGATGATACTGCTACAAGAAATACAGGGATAGAATAAATGTTAAACATTACAGCATATAATCAACAAACCCAGAATGTGAGGAATTCTATAGGACAAATTACTCTGTTTCTTCAACAAATGATTAAAGATACCAACCGATTACAATGCATAAACCCTGTATGGATCTGATTTGAAAAACTAATTATAAAATGGCATTTATAGGGTAATCAGAGAAATGTGAATACTAATCACATGTTATATATTAAGGAATTGTTCATTTTTCAGGTATTTTTAATAATATTGTAATTATGTTTTTTTAGAAGGCCTTATTTCTTGAGATACATAGGAACATATTTATGGGTAAAATTATACATATCTACCCTGGAAGTCAGGGTAGAAGGTACAGGTGAAATAAAATTAGCCACATACTGATGACTGATAAAGCTGGGTGTGGGTGTAGGAGATTCTTTATACCGTTCTCTCTGCTTCTGTGTATGCCTGAAATTTTCCATAATAATTGATTTTAAAAAAGTGCTTTAAAGAAAAGGCAAGAATTAAATTCAAAGAAAACGAGCAAAGATGACCCCAGAAAATACTAAGCAAGAAATGGGTTGTATTCAGCCCAAAATCACATGCAATTTGGTTTTTCATTCTTTGGCAACAGGAATATAATCTGGGAAATTTCTCAGAACTAAAGAACACAAGTTTCCAGTTTGAAAGGATTTACTCAATACCCAGCAAAAGAGAATATAAAAGACTCACATCAAGATAGGTAATCATAAAATGTCAGACCCACAGGAATAGTAAGATTCTTAAAAAAAAAAAATGACAA